ATGCGCCTCTCACATTCTTCACGACCACAGACTCTGGCGTCATCACAAACCTCTTCTCTCAGGACATGACACTCATCGACAACGAGCTGCCGATGGCGCTGCTTAATGCTGTGCTGGCCGGATTCGAGTCAATCGGCATGGGGGCTGTAGTCGCCGTTGCATCCCCCTACATGGCTGTTAGCTACCCCTTGTTGATTGCTTTCTGCTGGATCATCCAAAAATTCTATCTTCGGACTTCTCGCCAACTACGACTCCTGGATCTCGAGTCCAAAAGCCCATTGTAGTATGTACACGAAGACTAGGCGGTTGAACAGTATTTCACTAACAGCTGCTAGTACGCATTTCCTTGACACCATCAAGGGTGTTGCAACGATACGTGCCTTTGGCTGGGCGCACAAGGACATTGCTCACAACCAGCACATGCTGGATACCTCACAACGACCCGCATATCTACTCGCCATGATCCAGCAATGGCTCGTCGTTACGATGCAGCTCATGGTGGCCGGTTTGGCCGTCGTTCTTGTGACTCTCGCCACCCAGCTCCGGGCCAACTCAGGTTTCACTGGCGCCTCCCTCGTCACTCTGATGTCCTGGGGCGAAACTCTTTCATCACTCGTCCGGTTCTACACCCAGCTGGAGACTTCGATCGGTGCCGTTTCTCGTATCAAGACCTTTTCTGAGAAGGTTAGCCCTGAAGACCTGGAAGGCGAGGATATCGAGCCGCCCGAAGAGTGGCCTGAGACCGGGCGCATCGAGATCACCGGCGTCTCTGCTTCATACAAGTAAGTTGATCTGGACCCGTTCGCAGACCGCGCTGACATCATGGAAAAGCAACGAACAGCAAGCAACATCAGATGGCGTGACGACTCCTCCGCATCTCGCTCTGAAAGACCTCAATTTCTCCATTCAGCCTGGCCAGAAGGTTGCACTATGTGGCCGAACGGGCAGGTAAGCTACCTTTCGGATGAGACTGGCTACCTTAGGGCACTATACGAAGTGGATGGATACTGACCTCATTTGTTTAGCGGCAAATCATCACTCATTCTCCTCCTCCTCCGGCTACTAGACCCGGTCTCGTCCTCTCCAAAGAATATCGAGATGGATGGCATCCCCTTCCACCGCATCGACCGCTCAAGTCTTCGCCGCCGCATCATCTCCGTGCCCCAAGATGCGGTGTTCCTCCCCGATGGCAGCACCATCAAGGCAAACATCGATCCTTTCAACGCAGCCACAGACGAAGAGTGCTTCTCAGTCCTCCGCGCCGTGCAACTCGGCACCTTTGTCGAAGAGCGCGGCGGCCTGCGCGAGTCTATGAGCGCAGACAGTCTTAGCGCAGGACAGAAGCAGCTCTTCAGCCTTGGGCGAGCGATCCTGCGACGCCGGATCAAAGACGCCAAGTTCAAGCGGCGCGGCGGTGGGATCTTGTTGTTGGATGAGGTCAGCTCCAGCGTCGATCACGCGACGGATAGGTTGATGCAGGAGATCATTAAGGAGGAGTTTAGGACGTATACGATTGTGATGGTGTCGCACCGCCTGGACATGGTGATGGACTTCTTTGATGCGGTGATTGTCATGGATCAGGGGCGCGTCATTGAGACGGGGAGCCCGAGGGAGCTTGTTCAGACGGAGGGGAGTCGGTTTGGTGAGCTGTGGGCGATTGAGAATCAGGGAAGGTCGAGGAGTCCTGTCAGGTAGCCACGGTTCATGGTGGAAGCATCACTGTAGCAAGCGAATGATGTTGATCAATAAAGAGCATGTTCTGGTATGGCAGTCCTTGAAAATGGAAGAGAACATTCAACACAGGGGACAATATTAACACGGGAGGGGATCGATGCGGTACGCGGGGCCAGGCAAAGAATGACCACCCTCTGTTTATCAACTTCACCCCAATCCTGTAGCAAACATTCAGGAATAAACATCTTCTTCTCATCTATTACCAATGCTGCAAGTCACATCAAAGAATGAGTATTTGCTGTTCACTCGTCCCAACTCTATAAGTAAACGCCAGAGAAGGCCCATATCCGATCCATTTACCTTGATTCCATGACGAACACGACCACGACCCCATAGCTTGATGATCAATATTCTATCACCACTAAGGACCTCTACTTTCAAAAATCAGATTTGCAACATGGCATCCAATCCGAACTTGAAGGCTCTCTTAATTATTGGACAGCGTCTTCAGGTCAACATAGACTTCGACCCGAACGAGCCAGAATCCCATCGAGAAACCGTCGAGGGAAGTTGCGCAACTATCGCACTTGCGGCCTATTGTTCCTTTCACAACCAAGCTGAAATACAAGTTCAGGTGATGACTCTAGTTGGGGATGACGGTTTCGGCGGGATAGTGAATCAAGCACTGAAAAGGAACGACATAATTGCACACCGTATTGAAGAAGTCGAGAGCAAAAGAACAAACGTCTACCTCAACATCAAAAACCCACCGGCGAGAATCGAACGGCGTTGAACCTTGATGCGACACTGACTACGCCCGACCTATGGAAGGGGTTCAACTTTCGCGTCCGCGACCCTGTTAAAAAGCCCAAGCCACCAACTCTGCTCATCATTTCGACAGAATTGGAAAAGAATGCCTTTGAGCAAGCACTGAAAAGTGCTACATTTAATCGCCTTGAAATATGCTTGAGCAAGGTGCCTCCGTATCCTCTCGATAAGAGTCATTTCGAGCAAATTGCATATCTTGTGGTCGATAAAGAGGAGGCCCAGAGGTTAACTTCCGAGGAGGGAGGGGGATTCAAAGCTGCTGAGCAGTTATGTCGCTTGGGGGTGAAAAATGTGATTATCACACACGGTCATGAGGAAGCATGGTACATGCTTGGGCCTTATGAGGCCAACAAAAAGCTTCCATGGGACCGCTCTACTGGCATTTCAAGCGGCAAAAACAAGTATACTGATGTCGAACGGCAATTGATTTCTCTCCCTCCTCTGCATCTTCTGGTTTGTACACTGATATAGGCGAATAGGGACACCTTTACGGGGGCACTTGCAGCAGCTTTGTTTGCACATCAGGGCAAAATTTCCAGAGAAGTTATGAACAAATCACTCCAGACTGCGTTAATAGCTGCTAGGATTGCTGGTCAGAGAGCCGGCGCGACGGAGGATATTATGCCATGGTTTGTCGAGATCAACCGTTTTCGAGTCGCTAACTGCCAGGCTCAAAATCAATCGTCCCCTCTTATTATCTAAAGCCCAGGACACGTTTTCCCATTTGGCATTTTGGTATCTTGATACTTTTCCTTGTCTTTTTTTTTTCTTGTCTCTCTCAGTTTGATTTTTTAACATACCTTTACATTTGAGTATGTTGATTCCAAAACCTTCTGCGTTTGGGGGTTTTCCCGCTAATCTCTTTTTCTTCAAACTTTAGGACAAGCATAGAAAATAAAAAATAAAAATAAAAAACTATTCTCAGACCAAAAATTATTATCGTTCTATGACCGCACTTTGTAACCAAGTCGAGAGCCTGAATTTGGAATGTTAATCTCTCCGCAGTGTCCAGCTTTGCCGGTAGACCGGATTACGATGGGCAGGGGCGGAACTCGCCTCCTGTGGCGAGCCAGTTGGCGACAGAGTGCTCGAATTATCGAGAGGGGAATTATTCAGGAAGGCTGGTCTTGGGAATTTGTTTGGAGGCTGTATGGACGTGTTCCCGGAGTCTAAATGATATTCCATAGGTACTTTTCTTTGTCAATTTTACCAGCGCAGCTTTCTAGAAAGTACTGGTGGTGAATCTTAACCGCCAAAACTGCATAATTTACCTCGACGATTGTTGGCTACATAATGCCCTGCACTGTAGTGTTAATAAACTTGCTCCTCTGTGTTCCGCAGGAAGCAGTCCATGGGCCGTCAGAGGTGACCCGTCTTGGGGAGTAACACAGCCTTGTTGCTGCTTGCATGCATTGTTATCATTCTTGGCCTACGATGTTGGCGTTCCTAGGTATATGAACAGTGCCAGCGGGCCATATAGCGAAGCAGCTCTGATATACTGATCTTCCCTGATTGAGCCAAATCGAAGGCCGTCACCGAATGACTGGAAAGGGCGTCGACTTGTTTGCTCTATATGGCGTCAGTAGCCGACGTAGGTACTTAAACCCTGTCCAGCAACAACATGAAGATGCTACACCGCTTTACCCCACTACCTTGGAGAACCATCTTTCAATTGCCCGGTGGCTATAAGTTGCTGTCCCCATACACTATTGTAAGGCCTCACGTTTGAAAGATTACACCATAGCACCGCAGAATATTGCAGTTATGGAGGCTGATTCCAAACCTAGGAGGGAATGGCCTCGCAAGTCACAATCAGGAAGCCTTTGATGGAGAGTGGACTAGCGCCCTGGTTTTACCACCGTTATCATAAGAAATAATGGGAAGGCTTGTCCGAGAGCTTGTTGAGTTGATATAGAGTCTGTCCAGTGAGCTGTGGGCGATTAACAATCGGGGGAAATGCACGTAAGATGGATATCTTCAATTTGGGAAGACACCAACCCAATGATAAAGAGAGACGATGAGAAAGGGGCTCTGCCTTGGTATTGTAGTCTGTGAGTACGTTGGAGGCGTCTCACCCAGCTACAAGGTCACAATATTATTGAGCCGCGCAGACATGGAAATTCCCGGGTTCTATACGAGGGCAGACAAAGAAAGAGGGTCTTCTGTTCTCCCACTCAGGTCTTATGAATGATAATCGTCATCACAGCCCGCCAATTTTACGATTCCTGACTTGCTAACATCAAAGAGCCTTACGATTAACGATTATACCATGGAACCGGAGACGAAAACCATCGCATTATTGGGACGCTGGGTGTTGATCGCATCATGGTCGTGCTCCATTTCTCAAAAGCAGGAGAGAGTGTTGCAGCAAGTCATTCCGAGAAAGCCTAGGGGGGGGGTGGGTAGGCAAGGCTGCGAGCACCGCGCTTTCGACATACCGCTCCTGTCGCAACAAGTCATCGCTAGGCAGGGGCGATGGTGTCATTCGGGTTAAGATAATGGGTAAGGCCGGTAATGATCACTACGGAAAGACTCTTATTCAGAAGCTACTCGAGAACGATATTGACGTCTCTGGCGTCAAAGAGGTGTCCAGCTTCCTGCCCAGCAAACGCGTCGTCATGATCGACAAAGAAACCCACGAGAGTCGGTGTGTTGTTAGCCCGGGGGCAACTGCGGCCTGGACGAAGGAAGATTTCAGCTACCCTGGGCAGTTTGGAGGTGACGAATGGCCGAACTTGATCGTGGCGCAGATGGAAATCGATAAGGAGGTCGTTGAGACTATGATTTACACCGCCGGTGAAGCTGGCATCCCGTTCTGCTTGAACGCCGCGCCGGCGAGTCCTATTAACCCCGCTCTATACCGATTTATTACACATCTTGTGGTCAGCGAGTCTGGGGCTGCGATTCTGTTGGACTTTACGAAGGATAAGGTAGATAAAGACTTTCCAAAAACTGCCCAGAGACTTTTGAGCCTCGGGTTCGAGAACGTGGTTATTACGCTGGGTGCAAAAGGTGCTTATTACGCCGACGCGAAACTCAACGGGCACTGCGCTGGGTATCCCGTCCAGGTTATGGATACGACCGGAGCCAGGTGAGTAGTTCCATCTCATCAGATTCAGATGCTTTCGCAGACTAATACACGTGATAAGCGACGCCTTTACCGGGGCGTATGCGGCCGACTATGTGCGTCAGATGTCCAGTTCATCTGGAGAATAGGATATTAGGAGTGCCGTACTTCGCGCGAATAAAGCTGCTGCTGTCTCTATTGGATACATGGGCGCTCAGGGGCATATTCCGTGGGCGGATGAGATTGACCAGTTCGACAATCGACATGATGACAGAGATGACTTTTGACTAAGTAATGAGGCAAAAACTGTAATTTGTTCAGGAATGTGAGCTTAATTTCCCTGTCCTGCAATCATCGCTCTACAGTCACGCCGTGGAATGACGTCCGAATGGTGCCGGGCCGAACGGCGGGAGTACGGAGGGCCGCGCGGGCACTGGTCCCAGGCGGGGTTAAGGTTATCAGAATGGGGATCAAGGAGGGAATTCGCCGCAAGATTTCCAGATGTGGCTTTGGTGTAATATTACGATGCTGGCCATGATGGAAGAAGCCTAGACCGGGAGGAGGTGCAGCGCAAAAGATCGTGGGGTGTTCAGCCGCAATGCGAAGGTGTGCTTTTGCCAGCTTCCGACTTCGGCATAGTGAAGAAGCCAGCTGCCCAACCCCCTCTCTCTTCCGTCTGCCAGTACTTCAAAATGCAGCTTTCCTGACCATATTGGTAGAAGAATATAAATCTGACAATGTCCCCACGATTGGGGTTCAAGAGGTCATGGTGAGGTTGGATAAGTGAGTATCCTGCAGCAAGTTCTGCTTCGGGAGCAAGGTGGCCATCAAAAGGACTCCGTAAGCACGCATCTTACAGAAGAGAACGAGATGTCTGGACTCTCTAGCCCCTCGTGCCCCTCATGGCGCCGCGGTTCCTGGTGACTGCGTGGCTTGCACATGTGGTAGCCCAGCGCATGCGCACCCCCGGCCGCCCCTCCTTCTAGAACATGGGCAGATCTACCTACCCGATCGGGATAGCAACCATGATGTCGGGGATTCGATAGTGCCATTCTTGTTGAACTTCTTTTAACGTTCTCCAGGCTCCAAGTTCGTGTGGTGTGCTTCGGATACCTTCCTATGTGGTCTTAGGTCTTGCGTTTGGGTTTTGCGCGTAGGTCCAGAGAAATGTGCTCATTAGTCACCAGTAGGTACTTAGGCAGCCTGGATTGGTCGACGGACCGGATGGAGCTTGGTGGATATGCGTACGAGACCTTTATCATTCTGTTACGCACTGGTTTGAAAGGAATAAAGTGCAAGCTGTTCAAGAGACGCGACATGCCGTCAGCATGAGACCAGATGAGGCAATGGTGCAGGGTGTCTCGGCCTCGGATATGCCCTTGAAGCCCGCCCGGGCTGCCGCTCCGGCAACGTTGGCGGAGGGGAGAGAGGGAGCTTGCTGATCTTCATCGGGTAGAGACATTCAAACCAACAGCTCCTCGTGTCAGCAAATGAGTCGATGATTTGATTAGCTGACGGGCCCGAAGTCTTGAACCTTGGTTGGTGAACGGGGCGTAAGGCATGCAGCTCCCATGTTGCCAAATGCCAGGCGAAGTACCGGTACTCCGCGATGGAGAGTGGGGGGGCGAAGCTGGAACAGGCACATGGGATGCGAACGATGTGATGCTGCAGATGGGTTTCTCTTAGAGTAGTTTGTTTGCCTGTAAGCCTTGTATTCAGTTGGTAAAGGCCGAGGATCCAGACTTGGCTCAAATCTTAATGCGCATGCGGGTGAAATTGTTGGTTCCTCTCGTTGCCCGACTGCTCGTGATCGGGCGAATGCGGCGGTGACTGGCATTAAGGATATCTTGTAGAACGTAAGACCTATTGGACCTTTACCAAGAATCAATAGCCTTTCAAGCCATGGTGAAGATTGTTTCTCTCACAAGCAATTCTTCTAGATTGAAGTCCAAGGAGAAGAGGTCGATTGATGTTGTTCAGTTGAAGGAGGAAGAGAGAACCTGGAGGGGTTGAGTGAGGTGCCCCTTTTCGGTACGTACCGTGGGCTCCGGACAAGTGGATCCTCGGATCATACAGCTGCCTAGATGGGTTAGACTAAGGTCCATTAGCTAATACAGGCTAAGCGAGAACACTCGGGCCATCAGCTTATCGCATTTACGAATGGCGCTAACAGGCGCCTTCCCTCGTGACACCCGCCGCCGTCTCTTCGTTTCCCCATCTTCTCCGTCAAATCCTTGGACCATCTCATGAACCACGACAGGATCCGCCTATGATTCTCACCGGTACCTGAACAAGCGGGGGGAAACGGCTCTATGGCAGTAGAACGCGGCTGTATGCGTCTTTTCTGCAACATCCTCAAGCCATGAACGCCATAGACGCAACCATCGATGCGCCCCAGCTCTCTCCAACGACGTCGGTCGCCGACTATCGTGTCGGTAGCGATGGCTTCTTTCTTATTGTCAATGTCTCGACTACGCGACCATGATAATATCCGTATGCAGATATGAATACCAGCATATCGGACCGGTGCGTGAACCTGCATTGGAGTGCGACAGGCCCACCGGGTGGCACATAGCCATTGCCATGTGCCTTTGGAGCAACAAGTACAACCTCTTGGCTGCCTTGCCACACATGATGGCTTCATCAACCCGTCGACGCGGTGTCTAGTTGCTCAACATCGGACGAAATACGGCTTGCTACGAGGCGGTCCTATCAAAGGATCGACCACCCGCCCGATTCCTCGTCTGGCGAGGGCCCAAGTGCTCTTCTGTGAACTGTCGACCAGCACCCAGACACAGACCATCCACGACCCACGCTATCAAGACAATCCTAGGTCTTGATACCACCTCTTGGCATGCACAACGGCCGGGTTGTGGAGGACATCTCAAGGCGGTAGGTCTCCAACGAACGGCGCACCCGTACCGCACGCCATTCGCACTATTGGACCCCGCCTGGCCTGCATCCTCTGCGCCGTGCCATCCACTGCATCCCAACGAGGAAGCTCATCCAAGGCTTGGCGGCTCTCCGAATGAACAACAGTCATTGACCGGCATCAACGTCCAAGACTACGAGTCGCCCGTCTGGACCCTTGCGAAATTACACTCTCGTTGTTTGCCCCAGATAGGACGGCCCATGCCTCATGGGTCGCGCCATTCAACCGCCGGGCGAGCATGCCTATTCTCTCTCTGTCTCTCTATGCTTCGGCTTCCCCATCCCCCAGTCTTTGGGCCTTGCAGCAAAGCACTCGATGCGATGCTCAACGCGACTCTGCACCTGGCCATGCAACTAAACATGCGCACACAAGACAGATGCAGCTAGCTGCGTACAACTTGGTAGCTCTGGCCAATGAGCATGCCTCTGAATCCTGGATATCACGTCTTCAACAGGGGATATGAGCAAGGTAGCTTCATCTTCCTCGTGCTACCTCTCATAACGTCTCTTGCTATGCCGAGCTTGAGACTGGCCGCACTGCTAAGCATGCATGGGTTCATGGACATCTGCCTCCCGGAATCGGCGACGCCACCTTACGGGCAGCTGGTCGTCAGCGAGAAGCGTGAGATAAGGACTACTTAAACCACGCCGCCGCTGCGATGCCATCTTGACATGGCTTCCTTCGATAGCTTTGCGCTCTCTCACCCTCGTTCATACCAAGGCAAGACCCAGCACCCGGCAAGATGCGCATCTCGGCCACTGTTTCCGCCTTCGCCCTCGCTCTCCACCTTGGAGGCGTTGCGGCCCTCGGCCCTCGCCAAGAAGCCAGCGACGAGAAGGAGACTCCCACCTTCATCGCCAAGAGCTTCATCATCGAATACGCCCCTGTGAGTGCCCGCTGCGCGTGGCTGCTGCCCGAAGAAAACCTTCCCAAAGGTTGTAGTCCCCAGCTGACACTCACCGTCTTTCTTACTCTAGGGTTCCAGCGCTCGTGTCCGTCGTCAAAACGTCGCCTCCACAGACGGCATCACCGTCGTCAAGGAGTTCGCCAGCAACGTCTTCTCTGGTGCCAGCATCGAGACTGACACCTTCACCCTCGACACCCTGCAGGAGCTCCCCGATGTCGTTAACGTCTGGGTCAACGAGCAGATCAAGCTTGCGCCGACAGAACCCAAGGCTGCTGCGCCTGAGGATGCTCCCACATACTCGACACACAATGCCACTGGTGTAGCCAAGCTTCACGCTCAGGGCATCTTTGGTAAGGGTGTCAAGGTCGGTGTTGTTGATACTGGTATCTGGTACAAGCACCCTGCTGTAAGTTGGAGCTGCGCCCATCGTGGTTGTGAACATGCACTTACAACATGCTAGCTGGGTGGTGGTTTCGGCCCTGGTTTCAAGGTTGCCGATGGCTACGACTTTGTCGGTGATGGTTCTTACCCGGCCAGCGGTCCCAAGGCGCCCGATGAAGATCCTCTTGACACCCGCGGCCATGGTACTCACGTTGCCGGTATTGTCGCTGGCAAGACTGACTCGTGGGTCGGTGTTGCCCCCGAGGCCACTCTTCATGCCTACAAGGTCTTCTCCAACGCGGCGTCTACCGACACGGCTACTCTTATTGAGTCATTCCTTGCTGCCTACGACGACGGTGTCGATATCATCACTGCCAGCATCGGTGGCTCCAACGGCTGGTCTAACAACGCCTGGGCCGAAGTTGCTTCCCGTTTGGTTGATGAGGGTATTGTCGTCACCATTTCCGCTGGAAACAGCGGTGCCAGCGGCCCTTTCTACGGCAGCTCTGGATCGTCCGGCAAGAATGTCATTGCTGTGGCTTCCGTCGAGACGGAGGTCTTCCCGGCCATCCCCTTCGAAGCCACCTATGGCGGCAGCGAGACCGTCCGCGTTGGATACCTTCCTGCGGGAACCTACTTCCCCAACACCATCGTCGACTGGCCAATTGTCGCTCTCAACACCGATACGAGTGCCACCGCCGATGGCTGCACGCCCTACCCGGCGGGCAGCCCTGACTTGACGGGCAAAATTCCCCTGGTTCGTAGAGGAACTTGCACGTTCCAGGTCAAGCAAGAGAACCTCGCTGCCCTGGGCGCAAAGTACATCCTCATTTACAACAACGCATCGCCCATGACGACTCCCAGCACCAGCAACACCGACAGCCAGATCGCCATGATCACTGCCGATTCCGGTGCCGCTTTCATCAACGCCATCAAGGCCAACACCACCGTCACTGCTGACTTCTCGGTCAACCCCGAGATCCCGATTGCTCTCGACTACCCGGCTGGAAACCGCCCCAACATCTTCACCAGCTGGGGTCTGCTGTACGACAACCAGCTGAAGCCTGACATTGCTGCCCCCGGTGGTAACATCTTCTCTACCTACCTCGACGGAACCTACTCCATCCTATCGGGCACAAGCATGGCCTGCCCTTACGTGGCTGGTGTCGCCGCGCTCTACATCTCTGAGAAGGGTGGTCGCAGCGTCCAGGGCAAGGGTTTCGCCCGTGCTCTGTCCCGTCGCATCATCTCCAGTGGTTACGCTCTGCCTTGGTCCGATGGAACTGCTACGGACTATGGCTACAGCGCGCCTCCGGCTCAGGTTGGTAACGGTCAGATTGACGCCTGGAAGATTCTTAACTACGACACTCAGCTCGAGTTCGAGAAGATCCAGCTCAACGACACCCGCTACTTCAGCCGTTACCACGATGTTACCGTCACGAACAACGGCAAGTCGGATGTCACCTACAAGTTTTCCGTTCAGCCTGGTGCTGGTGTGGATGCCCTCGCCTGGATCCCCGCCACCTCCAGCCTGCCCGGCACTAAGCGTGTCAAGACCTTTGCCCAGCTTGCCCCCAAGACGTACACTCCGGATATCAGCCTTCCTCGTGACTTCACCCTGAAGGCTGGCGAGACCAAGACTGTGTCCGTTAACTTCAACAACCCCGATAACCTCGGCTGGAACACGACCGGCCTGCCGCTCTACGGAGGCAAGGTCGTTATCCAGGGCAGCAACGGCGAGCAAGTCTCAGTTCCCTATGCCGGTGTCGGTGCCGATCTCCGCAACACCCTCGGCGGTGTCCACGAAGCTGGCTGGCCCCAATCTGTCTCCACTGTGAACGATATTCCTATTAGCCAGAAGGCGTCCTATTCTTTCGACCTCAGCATTGAGGCCCAGGACTTCCCCAGGATTTTCCAGAAGCTCCTTTGGGGAACCCGCCAGACTCGTTGGGACATCTACGAGGCTGGCTGGACTGAGCGCCAGTGGGTCTACCCTCCCGTTGAGGGCCAGAACGGTTACATTGGTTCTGCCGCATCGTGGGTCGGCTCTGGCGAAATCCAGACCTTTGACCCCGCGCAATATGACCCCAACGATACCTTCACCTACCCCATCACCGACATCTACCGCAACGCTGGCGCGACCTACCACGAGCACTGGTGGTTCGGCAAGCTGGGCAACGGCACACAGATTGCGCCTGGTAACTACACCTTGCGCTTTGCCGCTCTCCGACCTTTCGGAAACCCCACACACGCGGACAACTGGGATGTTTACAAGACCCCTCAGATCCAGATCACAGGAAAGTACTAGACGTAACGGCTTGGTCTCACGAGCAGATAGTATGATATAGTAATGATTTAATACACTCATAATACTTATGAGAATTAGCCAATGGTTTATGAACTTTTCAGTGAGGCCTGGAAGCAAATTCCCTAGAAACATGTCTGAACCGGCCGCTGCTAGCCGGACCCCGCCTCTCTTCACGCAAGCCCCCATGCCGCACCCTGTTGCCAATTGCTGCAGCTCGGTTACAAGTTCGCTTAGTTGCCCCAAGTCAGCCTCACGCATAGCGGCATGAGCCTACGGCAGCCTACATGACGCGACCCTTCATCGAGATACGCAAAGTAGCAAAGATTCTCGGATGGCCATTGACGACTCGTTCGTCGTGCAGATTGGCCCCGCCGCTAACGCACAGAGCGTTATTTTGTAGACTGATCCGACAGAGGAACGGCTGTTAGTAGAAGCAAGGCAAGCGCGCTCACTTCCTCGCGGCCCGCGCCGCAGAAGTGGGTTTGATCGAGCTGTGATGGTTGGTAGGTAGGATCCGGCTTGCAGACCGAGACCTAGATGGGACGGTGATGTTCGGTTCATCAGATGCGAGTGCGTGACAGCCCACGCGTATGCAGGTCCCGCGGAAAACTTGATTTTAGCATATGTGACTGAGGAGATTGAGGGAATTGGTTGGCCGGTGCCTTTCGTTGCTGATCTTGGCTCTTTTCTTTGGGTCGCTGTACCGGACTTCCTTGCGTAGGAGATGTAATATGTCCTGACACGAAGATATATGTCAATTGAAAGAGGTATATCTTGGCCAAGACTCCCTCGATTGCTACCAAGCATGTGTGATAACCAGAGAGCAAGCTACGGTCCATACCTCCTAGTATCATTTGTTATAGTATATACGTTTCGCATTCGCAACCCAACGACAAGATGACGATCGAAGAGCAGCCCGAGCGGTTCAGCAACAATCGTAAAGCCGACTTTAAGTTAATCTACAATCAGCCCGATCCTCGCGCTTACTTCGCCGCTTTGACGCCGCTGCAATACCAAATCCCACAACAGGCGCTTCCCTTCGTCAAGCGTATTCTCCAGCATATCTCAAGCGGCAACCCATCACCAAACTTCAACGGTGATGATGTGGTGACCAAAGCAAACAAAATCAAGATTCTGGATGTATGCTCTTCCTACGGCATCAACGCTGCCCTCCTACGCCACGACATTGATATGGACGGCCTGGCGGAACACTACGCCTCCACCCCGAAACCCTCTTCTCGGGAACAAATCGAGGCCGACGAGCGGTTCTTTGCGGAACGTGTATTGCTGCGTGAGCAAGGCTCGGAAAACGAGATCGAGGTAATCGGCTTAGACGTCGCACCCGAAGCCATATCATACTCCGTAAAAACAGGCCTCCACGCAGCCGGCTTCACAGAGAACCTCGAAGCCTCCGACACCTCACCGGACTTCCGCCAAGCACTCCACGATGTCAAGCTCGTGGTGTGTACCGGCGGGGTAGGCTACGTCGGCGCCTCAACCTTCACCCGCATCGCTGCCGCCGCGCGGGCTTCGCCGAGTTCGCCCTCGGAATTGTGGATGGTGACGTTTGTGCTGCGCGTCTTTTCGTTTGATGAGGTTGCGGAGAGATTGAGGACGGAGTTTGGGCTTGTGACGGAGAAGGTTGAGGGCAGGGTGTTTCGGCAGAGGAGGTTTAGTTCGAGGGAGGAGCAGAGGGCTGCGGTTGAGGATGTTAGGCGCAAGGGGCTTGATGAGAGGGGGTTGGAGGGGGATGGGTGGTTTTGGGCGGAATGTTGGGTTACGAGGCCTGAGGGTTGGAGTGGGGAGGTTGGGAAGTTGGTTGAGGGTCTTTGAGGTTGTTGCGAGAGATGGGGTGTTGGTGACTGGATGTTTGCTCTCGTGTCTTGACGAGTGTAGAGGATTGACTCGATGGTCCAATATCTGGCACAAGTTGTATAGTCCTTTAGGTAAAATGGGTAAGTCAAAAGTGCCGTCGAAGCAGTCTTCGTCACTGGTCGTTTACCGCGCCTTTTGATCCGCAGATGTCAAAGCCGATGATGTCGAAGAGACGATCCAAAGACGCCACGTAACTTCAACCGGTCCACAATCGCACCCGGTGTTTGTCGTAGAGTCTGGCAGCTTTGAAATCCAAGCGATGGCGTACAGGCGAGACTCTGCTTTTCAAAATAGAAGGGTGCGGTCGACAATTGTCTCAAGACGATTCCTCATGGTGCTGACCTGTTGGGTACCTCGTAGTGATCGTGCTGACTAGTCGGCAGGCTTGAGTCTCGCAGCTGAGCTACGTCAAACATGTCGGCACTATAGAAGCGTAGAGTTGATTGAAACTGATGGTTCATCAAGATGGGCTGTCGAGTGACCAGCAACGTGGCCTGAAGAGCTCGTACTGTTTCTGGAGGCTGATCTAGGTTGTGGATCGATCGATAAATCCATGGTTCAACGTCTCTCAACTGACAGAGTTTTCCGACTTTGGTGACTGGAACTCGCTTTTGATTCGGGGAGCGCTTGTATGTCTATCCGTCGGCGTGGAGTCTCGTGACGAGTCAACTTCCATCATGCAATTGTGACAGTCCTTCAAAGCCCAGGCCTGTGTAGAAGGAACGCAATGCTGAGGTACGTAAGATGTTAGCTCTTCAAGACTCAAAACTGGCTGTAAGATCAACGGCAACCTCGAGTCGACTTTGAGGTTTCAGGTATTTGTCAAACCTTTTGCTTGGGTCTTTGGCATGCGCACTCTTTGCATCTCTGATGCTGGAGGGTACGAGGGATTCGATGCATTGCGTTGTTTCTAGTCGTTTCCAAGGAAAGGCTACCCCATTTGTCACGGTTTGCATCAATGATAGATCGATCGTCTCCTGTTAAGGTAAAGTCGTTCCTTAACAGCTTTCCAGCAAGTTGACAACTTTCACTCGGGCTCAACGATTCCCATGTCGGAAACGAGAACGAAAAGACTTTGCGCCAACACCAAGGCAGCAACTGTCATACTGGGCTGAGTAGATTTACGCTTAATACTAGCGTACCATAAGGCCCTCAACCAACCAAAAAGGTGAAGTGCACTCGGACCTCGAAAGAACAGGAGATTCCCACGGTTTGTCTCAGCTCGCAATTTCCCTCAACTGGTGAATTGGTGAATGCACATAGTTAAAGTGGTCGACTCGATTCGGAGCCCCATCTACCCTCCACCGTGTCCAGGTGCACCTAGATACCCGCAGACCAGTCACACCACTCACAACGTAGACCCGCGCCCCCTCGGACACACTTACCTTGGTAGGATACATTTTTATATGCAAACCGTTACGGAAAAGACCGATGCGTGTGGAAAGGACTGAGTCACCGACCGACAGATGACTGATCTGCTTACCAGGGCTGGCACAGACACGTAAGCCATAAGGGATCTTCATTGCCATTGGATCAACAATTCTTTACAACATTCCTTGACGGAACAAAATTCAGCAGTAAATCTGTCGATGTGATTCCTACGATAAGATTCGAAGAACGCCTTACCTGAGTTGCATGGGTCAGACCAGAACTCTAGGACGGACTGTTTTTTTCGAGTGGGTCGAGGCCTCCGAGCCCAAGCCTCCCCCTGTGTTGCTTAAGCCCCTTGAATGTTTATGTTACATGAGGGACCCTTGACAGACTTGCATGTCTTATGCGGGGGGCGCCGTTGATAGTCTCAAGATATTGAAGCTATTGCCAATTGGAGGTCATCTCCGCGGAACTCGGGGGATGTTCCCCATATTGTCCTGTACCGATTGCCATTACTATATCCGTACTTGAGGTATCCGTATCCCTCTTCAGTATATCTGCTGGTGCCGAGAGGCCCAAGCTTCCAATACTTCTACAAGGTCCCTATTCGCATGACCCCTATTCGCTGCTGTCATTTAGTAGTAACATGCATCGGCGAATGAATCATCTGGTGAATGCAAAGCAAAGGGACCTACTTTAGTTGATGGAGGCTGTTCTCGGGGCTTGGTCTGATGAGCACCGCCTGGTGTCTCATGCAAGCTACAGCTGCCAGTGAGACTCGTCGCACCGCGGACGCTTACCGTCCAGTGAAAGACGGTGTCACCATTCCGTCCCATGTTTTCGGGCACGTCTGCTTCAGAGCTTGTTTCTGGCCCCTAGACGAATCTTGCAGATCGACACTGACACGGCCCAGCTTAGACTTGGTTGGGGAAGTACCCCCTAGAGCTCGTGTCTCAGAATACAAAGCTCTACCTGAATTAAAGCCGTGGAAAAGACCTCTTTCCATGGCGCAGTCTATCAAATCGGATGACATTTCGTACCTCGTCGAGTTAAAACCCAGCATTGCATGTTGTACGCGTGGCTACAACCGATCCGGCGGCACAATGTGGCATTTTTGGTGATCTTGTGCGTGCAAACTAACTAACTTTCACTCCAAGCTACAAAAGTTCATGACCTGCCTAATGTGACGGCCAATCAATGACTTCAAGCCAGAACATTCCTAATAGCGTCACGCATCGGCTATCGGCAGTATGCCAACCAAATGAATGGCTATCCAGCATTTGTTATAGCGTATCGTTGAATTTTTAGTGCTAGAAACGTTTCGATCAGTGACACCAAACACGCATCGTAGCTCATCAGGGACTGGGTAGAATATGTCTCTTGAAAAACTCCATGACGCGTTTCGCCAAGTTTAGTCAAGTTGAGACTCTGCCGGCGTTGGTAACTAGCGTGGCACACGACGGGTCTTGGGGGCTCAATGTGGGTAAGCATGTAAATGATCCTAGATAAATTGTCCAAGCATGGTAATTCTTGGGGCTAAGAGCTGGAGACATTGATGCTAGCGAAACCTGAGCACGAAGCCCCTGATTCACTCCAAGGGCAGTCACCAATTTGTGCATTCAACAAGCGTAAGTCTTCGGCATTCAGCTCACAACATTGAATGATGGGTAAAGTCACTAATAGAACTTAGTTTAAGAGATGACTCTTAAAGACAAAAATAGAGTTGACAGCCAAGGGAATCGTTGCCCGACGACTTTAACTATCTCTCTAGCCAGGCTTAATCGTAGGAAACGTCAAGCTTCAAGCTCTAAGCGTTAATTTGTAGACAGACTTGAAATCACAACGATACTACGTTGCAAGCGTTCGTGTTCTAGGCAGCAGCCAATTTGAGTTTCACATGTTCCAGGCCTAGGTTCCCTGCAGATTTAAAGGCCCGGCGCTAGAAGGCACGGAGCTTCGGAGGCTTGAGGATAGACTAACCTACAATTGGCGGCGGCCTTACGCCGTTATTCCGAATCGCAGCACAGACGCCCGGCACTCGATGCCGAATCCAACTTGCCGTTGGAAAATGTGACCTGGCCAGGGATGTTGGTTGTCGAGAGAGATCTGAGACTGGGCCACTTGAATCTCCAGACTCCGCGGACCACGGGGCGAGAGCCTAGAGGGTATGTCCATCTCAGGGGAGACGGGGAAGAGACTAGGGATTGGAGGGCATCATCGGCCAGTCAAACTCTTTCGAGAAACCCCGACAATCGTGAAGAGACTGATACTTGGCCTCGTAGGGCTGAAAGAAGCGTTTTACTCAATCTATCGGCGTCGCCGTGTGGTCCACGCAGACTAGGCAGCTGTATTTCTTGTCCCGGTGGGGCTTGATTTGAACAATTTGGAGTCTTTAAAACTGCCTCACCATCACAAGCCCCATATTTCATGAGGTAAAAACTTACGTTTTCTCTGTGTGATTGGTTCTGTCGTAAAAGACTAAAACCTCGCGCCCAAACGCATGTCGATTCTGACGAAGGGGCTGACGTCGCAGGGACCAGCCAGGGGCACACGGCGGCCGAGGGTCGCGATCGTCCGTATTCGACACGTTGGCTTTATATAGTGGACGCCGCCCGAACGCGCCAATCTTGGCAAGTGTATCCCCTGTCTTAGTTCCTGCGCCCGCACAACCCGATTTCCGAGAGAGCCTCACTCCCAACGGTGTACGGAGTACTGAGTTCAGGATTCGACGGCCTGTCAGTGGCTACCTTGCCCTCTTACCAGTGAATCCTATGCGCCTAGATACGTTCGCATATACTATTACGCACACTACGCACCCGAAGCCGACCATGTCATTGGATACCTCGATCCCGGGTACGGGAGTCTTCTCGGTGGTACCCGCACCCAAGAAACCCAAGCGGACTAGGGCGAGCGCATCAAAGGTCAGGACCGGATGTCTAACATGGTTTGTGACAACACTGATGCCACTGTAGTTTATTAAAGACTGGTTCAACTGACGCCACCTACCCCATTGACAGCAAGTAAGGCTTCTCCGCCTCTCCCTACAACTACCGGCTGCGCTGCTTCATCCTCCACGTAGACAACTCCAGTTCTCCAGCAGCTAACAGAAATTCCGTTATCAGAGCCCGACATGTAAAGTGCGATGAAGCGAAGCCGTTCTGTAAGCGGTGTAGCAAGGACAAACACAAGTGCGATGGGTATCCGACCTCACTTCCAAACAAACGGCCGAGCCCGGCATCATCATGCTCGACCCGCTCGATTCCACCATCTCGGCGGCGACCAATCAACTCGGTAATGCAGCTATCGCCTCCTGTAGATTGGGACGTCTCCGGTACAACCCTCGAGAGGTTGATGTTCCACCACGTCAACCGATGTACTGTCCCGGATTTCGGAACCGCCACACCTCTTGCCAAGTTATGGAGCAACTACATCCTCCCACTGGGCTACTACTCAGACTCGGTAAAGCACGCCATCATTGCACTTGGCGTAGCTCACAGGGGATTTCTCGAGAACCCATCCTTTGACGAACAACCTTCCGAATCCGCCCTAGCGTTCAACGATCTAGCCGTGAGGCACTACCGAAAGGCCGTCTCAGAGACGATACAGATCATGGCCGATCCGTCACCCGTCAACATTCGAATCACGCTCATCTGCTGTCTAGTATTCGTTTGTTACGAGATTGTGCGAGGTCAATACGACAAGGCTATCCAGCACTTGAGGGCTGGCTCCAAAGTCCTCGAGTCACTCCACCAAGCAGCAATATCTAATCAACGCGACCCCTCGTCCCTGTCAGCCTACGATAGACAGCTGGCAGACACGGTCAAGAAACACTTTGACCAGTTGTGCGACATCACAACCATGTTCACATGCGTCGGCATGGACACCTCCATGCTCATTGAAGACGAGGTTGTCCCCGATCTATCTTACTTCACACAGCCAGAATCCGAAGACGAGCGCAACACACCGTTCGAAAACGTATCCGAAGCCCGGCATCGGCTGCACTTTGTCGAGTTGACGTTCTCAGACGCCTTTGAAGAAAGCTGGTTTTGCGAATCCGATAATTGCTGGCACTCAGGCGTCTCGGCCTGCAATACGCCGGAGCCTCCGCAAGAGGTGCAGGACCAGCAAAAGGCAGCTTGGGATGAGTCAACAAGGCTTTTTGAAATTTGGTGTTGCCGGTTCGATCTGCTGCAGGAGACTCTGCCAGACAAACTGGAGCCGGCGGACCTGGACGAACTGAAAGCACTTCGCTTCTCTCGCAAGAGCTGGGAGATTTTCAATGCCCAAGAAGGGCCGTGTGCCATGAAGACCAGCAACATGGCCGAGCTGCACGAGCTCGTCGACATGGCCGAGGAGATTGTGGCCGGCAGGGATGGACTTCCCCGGCCGATGTTTGCTCTCGCGGCAGATATTGTTCCCTCTCTTTCGTACATCTGCGCCTTTTGCGACAATGTTGACCTCGAACGGAGGATCGTCGATGTACTCCGTGGCATGAAGCGGAGGGAGGGAATGTGGGACAGCCGGGAATTGGCGAATCTGTATGACCTCGTCATTCAGGCCAAGACTGGCAACCAGTGGAAGGACGAATACAACTGGGAAACACTACCCAGCCTTGCGAGAATGATGGCAAATATGTCTTTGTCTAGCTCGGGGGATCGAGCGGGACCGCCGAGTCCCTTGACTTTGCTTTGAGAGTGCGGCATTGACGGAAGCGTGGAGTTTTGGGTTGATTCAAGGAGGGGAGTCATGATTCGTTCAAGGTGGAAACCTTCACTTCATGATTGCAGTGAGGACGGGTGACTCGATGTGGTCGTCGACTCTGTGGTCCGACAGCACTGCTCAGATGTATTCAATGAGAACATCATGTTTATGAAATTAGACAGTCGTCTGGGACAGAGTTTTAGAGTCTGAGGAAGAATCGTACCTGGTACCGTGTACAAAATAAACAAATACTAGACATTGAAATGTAGCTACTGGATATGCAGAACAAGAGGGAATAAATATGTACAAGAAGAGTATCAACTTTTGAGAAAGTGTCCATGGTTTCCATCCAGCCCCGTCGCATTTACCTGCGCAGCGACAGAGATTGGCCGTCGTTCAATTTATGCTCTGTGATTCGTCAAACATCATTCATAGCCTCCAACACGACTCGTCACCACCACTTTCGAGGATGTTTAGCGGTAACTGACAGAGGCGTCTCATTCTCGTAGATCATGATGTGCAGCTCAGAGTTCCGTACTGGTTGGACACGGGCGTAGTATCTGATGCGAAGACACCGTTAGCAGGTTGCCGAGACCTTAAGGAGAGAAGAAACGCTGTTTACCAAGTTCGATTTGGCTCTCGGAGCCGTTGCAAGAGCAGCTCAACCAAACTCGGGTAGTGCCGAAAATCGGCCCATAGACCGGGTCCTCGATGCGGTAGACATAGCAGTCGCTGCAGGAATCACCCAAGTGGCCTTTGCCGCTGTACTGCACCGCGAGAGTTAGCAACAAAAAGCTCATGAAATTCGATAGACAGTTCGCATACCTGAATCTTGGTGCCCGTGTAGGTGAAGCATTGGTTGAGGTCGAGGGAAGTCGACTTAACCGTGCCCTTGCCGTCACCGGCGTTGCAGTTCGCCGTCAGAACCTGGGTTGCGGGGTCGATGTGTTCGTCCGTGCAACTCTTGCTAAAGTCCCCTGCAGCGACTAGGGACGCTAGCATGGCAACGACGATGGAGAAGGTCTTCATGGTGTGGGTATTGGATCTGAGATGACTGATCTTTTGAGAAGAGTGTATCAAGGCTGGATGCTGCTGCTGTGAAATTTCTTGTTCATAACTGGACTTTCAGAAAGAGGCATATCCAATCTTTAATAGCCAGATGCGAACATCGGAGAAGAAGAAGTTTTACCGGGTGTTTTTAACTTCCGCATCATAGTTCCGGCCGACGGGGTTTGCAGCGTCGTATGCTTCGCTGCTTTCGGTTTGCCGTTGCAACCGCGGAATGCGTTCATTTGACCATAAGAACGTGACATCCAATACACCCAGTACCCAACGGGCAGGTGCGGAGCATCACTTTCCATGTTTGTGAATCTTAAAATCCAATCAGGGAGGTGAACGGCCCGGGACTGCAACGGCGGCTATCTGGACCAGCTTCACCAGAACTTTTGTCTTCCAACGAAGCGGATCCGACCAAACCCCCGATGAGGAGGGAGCCGGCCGAGGGGCGGTGACAAGACAACTCTGTTTGCCGTGTGATTATAACTCAACTTCTAAGCAGGATGTTTGCCTCCCTTCTCGAGCGAACCAACGGTGAGGCACGTCCACCATGTAAGGTTACAATTAAGGCTTTGTCACAGCGGGACATTATGCAAGGGTTCCAAGATACCTGCATGCAGTGGATCTCTGACATCCGGTCTAGACGCAGATCCTGACATGAAATCTCCTCATCTCGATCGTCCCGCGCGGTACTTGACGCTAGCCTTGATTCACTCACGTGTTGAGTGGACGGGCAGATCTTTCCGATCACGGGGCGTGTGAGTCTCAATCAAAGTCATAAGCGGAAAGGCTTTATGGGTATCTACATGGAGTGAGGGTTCGGGCATGGGGTTGCTGACTTGAGAATCTGAGTACCATCACTTGCCCGTGGTCATGTTGAGAAAACCGAGGTCTCATTCTTTGAAGGTGAGCTCTCACCTCTCACATGTTGTAACAGGTGTTTCTTGTTTGGAAACAAATGTTTCCTCAAAAACGGCGAGAAATGACAGTAATGGAAGGTGAGTGCCAAGAGGGGACAGTGAGAATAAGTACTTGACCGTGACACCGGCCGGCAAAAAGGTTCGGCAGGCCTGATTGCCTCCCTTGCATCGTGCCCCCGCCCCCACCTCCCGAGAAACCGGGTGATCCTTCATGGTTGCCACCAAACAACCCCGGAGGGTGGTTATCATATCATAGGTCTAGGCCATGTTCACGGGAACTAGCGCGTCAAAGGTCCCTGGCTCTTGACCAAACTACTAAAACGGTTGGCTGTAAAAGATCTTACATGTGATTAGACTCTCGCGAAACAGTACTGGTTTGTGATGCCGGAGCTGTTGGATATTGATTGGGAACCCAATGAAGAGACAACATGAGCAAGCACTCCATGATCATGCCAGATATATGGAATGACTAGAAGCAAAAAGGCCCGATGAACTGTGCGACGAGAATACCACACCAGTGACATTATGCGCCAGGTCACCCATCCAGGACGCCAACGAGTTGACACATCTGGTCTTTGATGGTCGGGATCTTCTGACCACTAACTGCGTAAAGACCATTCAATGAGGCGGGTGATTGATTACTGACCAAGCTATGCTCACAGTAAATGATGGCCCGATGCCTGAACCATGTTGGTTCATAAACAAGCTAGATCGTCTGGCTTGTTTGATGCGTGTGTCTTGCTGGAAATGGCCATATGCAGTAGTGTGGCATATGCACCTTGGTGCATACCCCTTTTTCTCAGGAACACAAATTTTCTTTCGAGCTATCCTGATTGGTCTTCGAAGAGTCCAGTCAGACAACGGACAGGTAATTGTCGACATCGAACGAGAATGACGCTTGGAAACCAAATGTACCGCATGGTTCATACAGCGAAGAGATGGATTTGAGAGCTTCATCAGTGGCGGCAAACAATCTTGACAAAATGAACAAGTTATTGAACTAGGCAGGGTGAAAGTATTCCTGAACAATGTTTCGGGTAGGATTACTAAGAAAGGTGTTGACAATACCAGCCTATCGTATTTGCACCTATCAACGTCTAAGGTATTCTCTGTAAACATTCTAA